AGGGAGGAAGGAAGGGAGGGAGGAAGGGAGGAAGGGAGGAAGGGAGGAAGCAGTGGGGGCAGGGGTGTATGTGGGTGGCAGGGTGGGTCAGTGGATGGAGGAGATGGTGCATTGAGCATGAGAGGTAGGTGACAGGACAGACACTGGTCATTCCTGTGAAGGCCACAATGGGCACTGGCATCCTAATACAAACATGACTCAGAAGATATAACAATTCCTCTCTCCACTACCACCTGCCAGGGTCTCCTCCCTCTTCTCAGAAATTCTCATTCTCAGACTCAGGTGCCCATTTCCCACCACTAGCTCATTCAATGTGCCAGACCCACAGGGTGTCTGCAGAGTGCCCCAGAGTGACACAGAGATGACCCTGAAGTTTGAGGACACAGTTAACTGATTATACTCTTCTACCTTTCAAAGGGCAGAGCACAAAGTGTTAAGGTTTTGAAATCAAAAGGCTATAAAGCTGCTGTCCTCTGCAGAACTCTCGAGTCCCTGAACCTGAGCTTTGACTGTTACTTAAGTGTTCCTGGACCACTGACTTCAGAATTGGGCACTCCCTTAACATGGAGAGTCCCAGCCCAACCCCATCTTACTGAATCTGAACTTCTGGGCTGGGCCTGTGAACTTGAATTTTAACCAACTCCCCAGGTGATCCTGATGCATAGTTAGGTCTGAGGCCCACCACCATGGGCTACCCCCTCCCACACCTACCCCTTCCTTCCTGTTCTCCCTCTTCTCTCCTCGGGGGTCATGAAGACAACATTCTCCAAGTCATTTCCTGCTAGGTGCTCACCAGCAAACAATGAGACCACAACAGATCTAGCATACCAACATCTCAGGGACTTCGCAAATGTCACATCAACTTCATGGCACACTGTGTGAAATTTCCACTCAGGGCCACAAACAGGAAGTTCAGACAAACTCAGAAGCTCTGAAGGGGGAGCCATTTGGCCTTAGTAACCAGGAGAGTTAACAGGATTTGTTTTCATTTCAAGAAGAAATATCAAAACACAAGTTCTTTTCCACAGGTGGTAGAGAAGTGAATAAGTGGATTTAAGTGAATAAGTGTGTTAAATAAGTGGATTTAACACACTTTTGTCTCACCCTATCACCCCAAGTTCAGATAATCTCTCAGCCTCATGTGGGGACACCTGGATCACAGTGCTTTCCAGGCATAGAGAAAGTGGTCCTTCAGGCTCCCAGTTAGTTTTCCTTCATTACAATTTAAACCACTATTACATAAATCTTACGTGTGGATTTCCTAGAACCAAGGTAAATGGGTCAACTTTCTTTATTTTGGAATCAAGCAATAATTTTTTTAATCTTCACCCAAGGAGTGAGGATATTTTTTTCCACTGATTTTTAAGGAGAGGGAAAGAGAGAGAAAGAGGGAGAAACATCGATGTGACAGAGACACATCGACTGGTTGCCTCCCACATGCTCCCCGACTGGGATCGGACGTGCAACCCAGGTACGTGCCCTTGACCAGGAATTGAACCCTCTACCCTCGGGTGTGCAGACCAACACTCTAACCACTGAGCCACACCCGCCAGGGCTAACTTTTTATCCATATTTACCCCTCCCTATGGCCTATCAGCCACCATCCCTTAAAACAAAAAGAAAGGAGCAAAACTCCCAGTGACTCTACACTTTCCACGTCAGTCTCTGTAAGACAGCACACTTTCATATGTGGTGTCAATTTACCTCATGTTTGAAATGCATCTGGCTTTTCATACCAAAAGTGGAGACAGAGGAGAGAGAGAGCTCGCTAGGGGCAAGGGGTGGGGAATGAATAAAGAAAATATAACACAATGAAAGAGAAACGGAGTCAATGATCAGAACTCTTTCTACTTCTACAAAAAAACTGTGATCCTATCAAACACCATAATGAAATAAGAACTACAATAATAACCCAGGACTATGTCCCAGAAGCCGCACCAGCACCATATATAAATTAATTCATTCAATCTTCGCAACGTCATGAGGTAGGTGTGCTCTCATTATCCCATTCGGCAGATGAGAGAAACAAGGCTCAAATAGGTTAAGTGCCTTGTCCAACAGTACAGAGCCAGGATCTGAACCCAGCAGTATAATGCTTCACCCTTGCACACAGGCCATGGCAAATGTGAAGGCGGCACAGCCCCCAGACAGCTCACATTCACCACCCGAGTCCTCTGCCATCAAAATGGCCTAGGCCCTCCTGCAAGTAAGTGCCTCAGTGAGCTCCTGCACGGGTGAAATGAGATGGAACGATAAAGGGCTCTGTAAAACCTGGAGTGCTTCATAAACACAAGGGCTCAGAACACCACTCTAGGCCAATCCAAAAACAAGAATCCAAAAGTGGCTTCTTTTCTACAGCAGTGGTTCTCCACATTTTTTTCCTGCCTCGAAATGCCCAGGAGATGGAAGGGCAATTAGTTTTAAAAAAAACAAAACAAAACACAAAAAGCACTAATCATAAAAAAATATGGATAAATTGAACTTCACCAAAATGAAAAACTTCCATTCATCAAAAGATACCATTAAGAGAGTGAAAAGACTAACTACAGAGTAAGACATTTATAATTTATCCAGAATATATAAAGAATGCCAACAAATAAGTAACAAAAAATGAATAACCCAATTAATAAAATGCATAAAAGACTTGAAGAGGCCATAAAAGAGGACGAATGAGTGGCCAACAAGCATAAGGAACTGGGCCCAACATGATGACTCATCAGGGGAAACGCAATGAAGACCAGAATGAACTACAACAAACACCCTCCTGAATGGGGCTCATTCAAAGATCACCGGAACCAACTCCCGACAAGAACGGAGAGCCACGGGAACTCTCATACATTCTCGCAGGAGGGTAAATTGATAAAACCAAACAGGAGGAAACATGCACCCACTCTATGACCTACCAGTCCTACCCCTAAATATATACCCAAGAGAAATGAGTACATATGTCCACCAAACGACACATCTGAGAATGCTCACAGTTCTATGGATTATGGCCGAAATTTGCAATAACAAAAAACAAATACACATCAACAAGAGAATAAATTGTTGTGTATTTAAACAATGG